ATGCTGACATGTTAGATAAACACGCATTGTTTGCGACGGAAAGCTTATCACCCGTTATATTAGAATCGTCAACAACAGAGTATACAGATAAGATGTTATAATTTAAACCCTTCCAAAAATAAAAATATCCGCGAAACGGTAGTTGTAGTCTTTTCTTCTAGCATTTTAAAACAGTAATTTAAGCAACGTTATTTTGCAATTTCGATTTTTTTGTAAACCTGGGATGATGTATCAAGGTCTAAAGTAACAGTTTTATCAATTTTTGAAAAATCAAGAAAAAAGTGAAAATTTCCCTTCTCGCTACCTTAAAAAGGTTGATGTGAAATGTCCCACTAAAAAATGGTATGTCCCAAACAGTACACCTTACCCATATGCCCCACTAAAAATGGTATGTCCCAAACAGTACACCTTACCCATATGCCCCACTAAAAATGGTATGTCCCAAACAGTACACCTTACCCATATGTAAATTATACAAATGAGCTGTTCTATTAGCACTTGTAGGTATCCAACCAGCTCTTGTCATGGCTATACTGTTCATTATTCTATTTTTAGATTCCTCCCCATTCCATACAACATCGTCTTCCCAGTGCATCTGTGTCACCATCTGAAAACACTCGTCTGGTGCTTTGAATGTTTGGTTTTCTTTATCTTCCAAATCTTCATCAGATTTGTCAGAGTTTTCATCTGTTGGTTTTGTAGCATCCTTCTCTTCTGTATTCTCATTTTCCTGAAAACAATTGATATAATTAAAGTCATTAAAATTATTCACACTTTATGATGTCTGTTCAAAATCAAGTTCGATGGTCCTTTTACTTTAATAATAATGAAGCCATTCCTGCCAAAAGTGACTAAGTTAGGTTGGTTACAGCTTAAAAGTGCAAAGTTAGGTGGCTCAACAATACAGAAGTTCAGTACCGTAAAAACGCTATTAATTCGTAGTAGTAAAAATAATTATTTTTTCAAGTGCGCGAATTAATAGCGTAAAAACCAGAAATTATTGGTTTTTGGTGAGCGAATTTAAAGAGTACTTTAAGATCGATTCAAAAAGGGGCTGTTTTCCACCACTCAGTGTCTATAAAATTTTCTAATAAGAGTCCACCAATTTTGGCTAAATATTTCTTGTGCTCAGATTCTCTGTTAGGGGCATATGTGTTCACTAATAAATATGGGATATCATCAATAACTGCTTTTAATAAAATAAACCTCCCCTCTGGGTCCGGAATAAACCTGCTTACTGATATTTTGATATTGCTGGCAATCACCATTACTCCCCTACTTGTACCTGTACCGTGAGAGTACCAACACTGTCCCTTGAATTGTGAGGACCAAAAGGGCTCATCAGCCGTTTTACTGTGCATTTCCTGTAGGAATGTAAGATTGACGCTCTTCCCGACTAACCAGCTGGCAAGCTTTTTCCTCTTTTTGGGGTTTTGCAGCCCTCTAGTGTTGAATGTTAAGGTGGAAAAATCCATTCCTTAAGGAGTTTTATATACACAATGCCTTCCCAGGTTTTCAGCTTAATTTTGCCCATTTTTAAAATAACATGTAAACAAGCAGCCTATCGGCTGAGATAGCTCCGCTGTTAGCAATGCACATTCCAATTAAAGAACTGAAGACATCATTAGAAAATGAACAATATGTATAGTATCAAAGCAATCGGTCGAAAATATCACTTTCTACCAAAAATTACAAAAATATTCACCAAAATTTGAGAATTAAAGATATCATGAAATGAACAAATCTGAGTTAGAACCACATGTAGTACCTATATATGTAATATCAAAGCAATCAGACTTACAGTTTTTAACAAGAAGTTGAAAATATCACTTTTTACCAAAAATTACAAAAATATTCACCAAAATTAGAGAATTAAAGATATCATTACAAAATGAACAAATCCACAGAGGTCCACATGTTGTACCTATATATGTAATATCAAAGCAATTGCACTTGCGGTTTTTAACAAGAAGTCGAAAATATCACTTTTTACCAAAAATGACAAAAATATTCACCAAAATTAGAGAATTGAAGATATCAAATAGAAATGAACAAACCTAAGAGAGGTCTACCCAAGGTACATATACACCAAGTATCAAAGCATTCAAGTCGAAAAAGTAAAACATTGACACGGACGACGGACAATCACTCATATGATAAGCTCCGCTCGACAAAGTCGACAGCGGAGCTAAAAAGAAACCACAAAGGTGGTTAACAAGAGTATGAAAATAACAAGAGTGGTGAGTAACAGAGTGTAACAATACTGCATGATAGATATAAAACAGAGCAGTAACAATGTAATCAGCTCACATCAATTTGAACTAACATAACTGGAATGCGAGAAGTTACAAAACACTTTTCAGCAAGATATTTGCCAAAACAAACTCAAACTGTGGGTGGACGGAAGAGTTAGTAATTGTATTAATGGAGATTGTAACAATTAACCATTTACTTATCTGAACTTCAGAAATTCGTGTAAACACAGTCCACCAATGTGATTTAACACATGGTGACCGTCTGTTGGTTAAACATTAGATTAAACTGTTCGAGTTCAGAGTTTTTCACTTAATGTCACTCGCACGAATTGCTTTCATCTTGCCGTCTTCCGTTTCCATCATCAATGTGGCAGGTACTTTCCATTGGATATAACTTTTAAAGTTCTTTTCTGGATGTTCCATCTTCTTTTTCTTTCTATATTCCAGTAGTTTCTTTCTCTCTTTTAACACCTCTTTGCTGACATCGTCGGTAACATACACACTTTTTCCGTGGAACAGGTTGTTCTTCAATGATGCCGGTGCTGCGTAGAGTATTTTCCTTGCTATGCTAGCGTCGAGAAAGGCTACTTTGATCATTCTTGTTTTTCCTGGTTGCCTGAATGTCGGAGCGCGGTGGGCCCTTTGAATGGACACGCGTTCGGGAAGGTCCCTAACTTGCATATGGCCGTTAACAAACTTTCTAATAAAATCGGCGCAATTGCCTTCTGCCTTTTCTGCTCCTTCCTCTATGTTATGGAAATTCAAGTTTATCCGCCTACCTCGGTTTTCATAAGTCGTCACTGTGCTCTTCCGATCTCTTTATTTGTTGCTCCGCTTCATTCAGTCTCATTCGCAATTCCTCTAGTTCACCCCTGTCCACCATCTTGTTTTCTGCTTGCTCTATACGGTAACTCACAGAGTCAATCGATTCTTGCATGTCTTCAACTTTCTGATGTAGTTCACCGACTTTTATAACCAGGGGTTCTACTTTCACGAATTCCTCTTTGATTTTGAATAGTAGCTTGACTATTATTTCCTCCATTTCCTTGTGATTCATTTGAATAATTTTAGTTAGGTCTCCATCTTCTATCATCTGCTCGTGTTTCTTTGACTTTTCAGTTTGGCGTGTCATCATTTCATTTACTCTTCTTTTTCCTGTTTCTGTTCCCTGCTGATTGCCTGATGGTTTGTTTTTGCTCTTGCTGCTCATTTTATGTTATTTATTGCCTGGTTCCCGCTATTTATACAGATTTTACAGAGCCGATTTTTTCCCTCTTTACTCAGATTCGCGCATGTGCCCTCTGTCCTCCAATGAACATGATTACAGAAGGTTGTTTTAGTGCCTCTGAGACTCGTGGCTAGCGACATTCATGGCCTATAGTCGGGCAGAGAACACGCACTGCTTCAAGAATCTTACACCATGTTACACTTGAAATGGCAAAGGTCTTTCTGTACACAAACAAACAATGAACACGTGGCTACAAAGTAGCCGTCTGGCTGCACAGCCACTGGCAATACCGTCAGACACAAATTATTAATATTGTTCGACAAGTCATCAGTAGTGAAGCCGTCAAACCAATCACCATCGTCGTGGTCGCCGTTTAAAAACAGATCGGCAATGATTTCTGCTATTTCAGTGTTGCTTCGGATAAGGTGGTCTTCTGCCCCGTTGATTGCATTTGTTATGCCACAGACTTTGAAATCATTGATGGCCAATGCACCAATTTCTGCCACGCATTCACAATCCAGTCCAGGATGGTCTGTTTATCAGCTGCTGATCGGCGAGATTCCGAATCATGATTTCTAAATTGATGGACTTCCGACTATCGATTGACAATGAAATGTTTCTAAGACCCAAGAAGGGTGATTTTTTTCACTCAAGACTAATCGGTGTAGCACAGCACTGTCACATCGGGTTTTATGATGTGATAGTGCAAATAAAACGTTACAACGAATTCTCGATAGCACTGAGTTTGAATATTCATTGCGATAAAATCTGGTGCCAATTGCCGACCTGATTCTTGACGAAACCTGCGACTATGAAAATGATAGTTGGTTTGACGACTTCACTGCTGACGACCAAATATCAAACAATCAACAATGTTGTTTTTACAACACAAACCAAACGACCCTTTTCAGGACCACCCACATCCTCCAAAAAGGGATTTACCGTTCAAAATAATGTGTGTGTGTGTGTGTGTGTGTGTGTGTGTGTGCGGAATGTTTTAGTCGGATGTACTGCTAAAGAAATAAAAACAGCTATGGCTACTTTGTATGCCATGTGTTCATTGTTTACTTGATTGTTTTTTTTTTTCTATAATGAAAATGGTCAATCGCCCAACCAATCAAAAACGTCAATTTAAGCACCACAGGGCGGTTCACTTAAATGATGTCATAGAATAAAATCACTTTCCAAAATGGCGGACACACAGTTGATGCAACCCTTTGGACCAGCGACAAAAAGCCTTATATTAAGCTTTCCATCACACAAATTCATAATCGATGTGCTGACTGATGGATATTTAGTAATAATCTTGCCCAACATCTAGTGGATACAAATATTTGGGCAAAGTTATAAACAATAAGTTTAATTTTGACAGTAATATTAATTTGCTTTTCAAAAAAGCCAATTCCAGAGTGTATTTTCTAAGACAATTAAGGAAATTTGATATTTCTAAAGATGTTCTAAATACATTTTATACTGCTGTAATTCAGTCAGTAATTTCTTTCTCAATAGTGTGTTGGCATGGTAACTGTAGTAATAATTCAAAAGATAAATTGCAGTGACTAATTAAAAATTGTAGCAGACTTGGTGTAAATACACTAACCCTGTTTGAAATCTATAAGAGAGCTACATTTAAAAAAAGTAATGGTATACCAAATTGACTCTTCCCATCCATTGCACAGACATTTCAGTATGTTATGATCAGGTAAAAGGTTGAGATCAGTAAAGTGTAGGACAACACGTTCACAAAATTCATTCATATCGTCTAGTATTAGATTGTTGAATGAGCTTAACTATTTATTTATTTATTTATTTATTTATTTATTTATTTATTTATTTATTTAAAGTTCAAAAGGATACAGTTAAAAATTAGCGTTCAAAAATAAAATGGGTGCGTGAAATAATAGAGACCGCGAATGAATCAAATTATTACGGTAGTTCCAATTTACAATAATAGTGTCAGATGGTTTCTTGAGCTAGGTTGCTCCTAGTTGCTGTCCATAATGAAGGAAAGCAGTTGCTATTCAACGTATGGTTGTTTCAAACGCAGTATTCAGCAATTATTTAATGATAAAACAGACAAAATCAACACAATCTTACTGATTTAAGTTTGAATCCATAATCCAATTCTTGAGCTGTGGGATCCACACCTAACAGATCATACCAGTACTGAGCAGGTCCATAGCGCCATTCAGCTACCTTAGGTTTACACTCCTTCTCTTTGTCTTTGTCTAGTGCCATTTGTTCAGGTTTAACTTCCATTGGGGTACCATGTAGAACCTGTAATTTAGCAACATTCACAGACTCATTATGACATCATTTCTGCTCATGTGATATCAGGTAGCCAAGAACTAAACTTGAACACTTGAAATACTTTGAATATAACATTTCTCTCTGTTATTACAAGTCTTGATTAAAAATATAGCGGATTACGTTCATTTCACTTATTTTCCATCTCTGATGAAAATGAAATACTTTAAAACTATTTTATGATGACAACTTAATCTTTCCACCACCAGTTTCCTCTTGGCATCACAAATTCACAAAATAAAAATAAAATAAAAATAAAATAAAAATAAAATAAAAATAAAAACTAAAAATTTACCCAAATTGTGTCTGTTTGCTCCAAAATTATAGTTTTATTTTCACTGATTAGAACAAGAGGTCAAAGGTCAAATACTAGGCATAATTTCACAAAAGTTGCTGCATCTTTAGAAACCAAATAACAGTTACAATTTTCACTGATTAGAACAAGAGGTCAAAGGTCAAATACTAGGCATAATTTCACAAAAGTTGCTGCATCTTTAGAAACCAAATAACAGTTACAATTTTCACTGATTAGAACAAGAGGTCAAAGGTCAAATACTAGGCATAATTTCACAAAAGTTGCTGCATCTTTAGAAACCAAATAACAGTTACAATTTTCACTGATTAGAACAAGAGGTCAAAGGTCAAATACTAGGCATAATTTCACAAAAGTTGCTGCATCTTTAGAAACCAAATAACAGTTACAATTTTCACTGATTAGAACAAGAGGTCAAAGGTCAAATACTAGGCATAATTTGTCGTTACCCAATGGTGTAAAACTAGTTACAGTAACAGTGCCCTCACCTCATCGTCAACCAAACAATCCTCTATTGTTGGCATAATTTTTGGCTTAATTTCTATACCATACATGTAAGTCTTTTGTACATCAGCAGAGTTCTGGTCGTCCTCGGCAACAGGTTTCTTTTTTCGTCTTTTCCTCTTAGATCCTCTCCATATATGCGGCAGTGATGAAGGTTTTCCAAGACCAAATAGTTTGGAAAATCTAAGCACCTGAGATTGCAAACAAAATATGAATTTAAAACCAATGTGTGCTCCGATAATGACACATTAATTAATCACAGACTATGTAACCCAATGTGTGCTCCGATAATGACAGACTATGTAATCCAATGGGAAATATTCCTACATACCTTTCCCGGTCTAAACTCAGGAAATAATTGAGTAACAGTTAAAGCTGGCTCTTCTTTCATTGTTTCCATTTTCGTCACAGAATTCTCATCTTTCTGTTCCTTGTCTTCAGAGTTAATTGTCTCTGTTTTAACACTCTGTTCATTATTGTCATAATTATCTTTATAAGATACAGCAGTCTTTCCAGCATTGTTATAAACCTCTTCACTCGGTTCAACAGATTGTCCGGCATTGTCACAGTCTTCCTCACCAGGTACATCCAATCGCGTGTCTGATAATTGACTTCTAAATGGTGGCGTTATTGACGGTGGTGGCATTAATTTAGTATCATTCTTTGATTGGTTTGCTCCATCTTCCTCAGCATCATAGTCATCATCAGAATCAGAATCTAATCAAAATTATTAAATTTAATTGAAAATCATTAAATTAAATTGAAAATCATTAAATTTAATTGAAAATCATTAAATTAAATTGAAAATCATTAAATTAAATTGAAAATCATTAAATTTAATTGAAAATCATTAAATTTAACATCATTACTATGTAATGTAACAGTGTGAGATGTCTAGTCCATGACCATATACTATATCACATGGCAATGTTTTATCTAGTTATCCAATTATATATACTGTAAAATACTTTATTTTAGCTGGAATTAATTATTGGGTGTTTTGTATCGAATTTATTATACCTGATTTGTGACTGGGATAAATGTAAAATATAGAAAAAAGGGTATATTCGCTGGATTTTGTTTTCACTGAATCATTCCTTCAGCGAAAATATCGAAAATTAATTCCAAGCGAAAATATTGTATTTTAGAGTATAGTAAAGTTGTGCTTTTATCTCAGTAAAGTTTAAATGCATCCATGTTTGCTATCTTCACAGGATACAATTATTTTCTAATTACTGAATACTTTCTATACCTTTGCATAGATGTAATTATTATCTGATGATACATACCTTTAGATGGCGCTTGCATGTCATTCATTGCATCTCTGTAATTCCTATCATTACAACTTTCTTCATCCGCAACTTCCATGATGTCAGAATAATCAATGGCTGAAATAACAATAATCAAGAGTTGTGGAATAAATCATAAATCATATGAATACAAGGAAAGTCACGGCGTATGACAATATACCGCCAAGGCTGTTGAGGCATGGTGCTTCCAGTATATGCCATCATATTTCCACCATATTCAACCAATGCATTGATAAGAGTATTTTTCCTGAAAATGCTAAATTAGCTGAGGTTGTACCACTTTTTAAAAAAGACAACAGACTTGTTATAAAAAATTACAGACCAGTCAGTATTTTGCCATCTGTATCTAAGGTTATGGAAACTATTATTCATAAAGAATATCTGGGATTCTAAAATTGCAGCCTATAGAAAGGGATATAGCTGTCAACATGTGCTTTTACGACTTGTGGAAGATTGGAAGCTTGCTTTAGAAAACAAGCAACAAGTAGGGGCCATTCTAATGGACCTTAGTAAAGCATTTGACTGTCTCCCCCATCAGCTGATAATTGCCAGGCTGAGAGCCTATGGCATGTCAGTGGAAGGATGTGCTTTCATCTGGTCTTACATCTAGAAAGCAGAGAGTCAAACTATCTGGGCATGTTAGTGACTGGCTCAGTTTATGTAAGGGGGGTCCCACAGGGGTCTGTTTTAGGGCCAGTACTTTTTAATATTTTTGTAAATGACCTTTTTTGCAATATCTACAAATATGTCACCTTATAATTATGCTGATGACTATACTATATCAGCTACTGGTGTAAATAAAAATGAGCTGATAAACAAGTTAACTCAAAAGTCAGAAATAGCTGTCAAATGGTTCAAAGATAACATGATGGAAGCTAATAATATATAAATAAATTTCAAGCAATTACATTAAATGACAAATCTGACAATACCACTTTTAGTATTGGGGGTGTTGCTATTGAAACTGAAACTAGTGTTAAATTGCTCGGGATTAATCAGATTGATCAGAATTTAAATTTTCATCATCATGTTAGTGTTCTGTGTAAACAGGCAGGTGCCCAATTGAAAGTTTTGCGAAGAATGTCGGGTTATTTAGATCAAGCCTCAAGACTATGTATATTTAGATGTTTTATTTTATCATATTTTACTTATTGTTCTTTAGTTTGTAACTTTTGTGGTAAAGTACACATTGCTAAGATGGAGCGTATTCAACAAAACATTCAACAGATCTGTGTGTATTTCTGTTAAAAGAAGCAATACGTCATTGTAATTCGCTCGGTACACTATTTTAGAAATTAACTGAACGTAATGTACCTATTTATATAGTTCGCTTTTTAATGAATTGGTATCAACATCAAAAATATTGTGTTAAATGGGGAAATGCTATATCTCGTTTATTCTGTGTATCTAATGGAGTACGCCAAGGCAGTGTTATGTCGCCTGAATGACACTCCGAGTGGGTGTCTAGTTGGTGATAAGTTGCTCAACAATCTCAGTTATGCTGATGATATGTGTGTGCTATCGCCCTCTATT